TGGTGTTAGTCTTGTTCACACCTGGAACTTCAGTGCAGGTTCAGCTCTCCCTGATTTGTGTCCCCTGGTGGGAAATTCTGCCTGAGCCTGTGGGGCAGCTTCCTTGGGTCCTCCTGGCCGTGTGAGCCCTGGCAGCAGCAGCCGCAGCCAGAAAGAAGGAAGCGGCGGCAGCTCCGGTGTCTCTGCTTTGCCTCCCGCTGAGTGGAAGCCAGGCGAGCGGCTACTTCTGATGCTGGGCACCCAGCAAGAGCGGAGTCTCTAGTTGCCGGGGGGGGGGGGGGGGGGGGCTGTTTTTTTAACCAACTTTGAAGGGGAAGGGGACTCGTCTCCCCCGGACACCTCCAGGAGCCAAGGAAAGTTGGGCTCCTTTTGTTCTCTCTGGAGGCCGGCCGGCCGGCCTCTTCTCTATCTAAATCTGCCTCCCATGAGACATTGGACTGCAGCTCCTACTGACTGGTGTAATCGATTTGGGTTTTTTCCTATTTCACATAACACTTTCCAAAATATTGAAATAGATTCTGCATTAAACATTCCTCTTGCAGCCAGCCAGGCAAGAGATTTGTTGTCCAAAATGCTGGTGATCGATGCCTCAAAAAGAATTTCAGTGGACGAAGCTCTGCAGCACCCCTACATCAACGTCTGGTACGACCCTTCGGAAGCTGAAGCTGTAAGTCCGGCCCTTTGGACCCCGGGCTCTTCGGGCGCAGGGAAGGAGGCTCTGGGGTAGAGGAGGGGGGTGGGGGGTGGGGGCAGGGAGGCCCAGAGCTATAGCTGGAGGGGCTCTTCAGGACGGAAACTTTGAAGCTATTCCTTTGCTGTGTAACTGGGGGGGCGGGGGGGGCAGGCGGGCTGGGACTTATGAAAGAGCCAAATCTTCGCTTGCTAAAAATAATAATAATCGTGGTCTTTTTTAAAATGATTGCTGATTGAATGGCATAGAATTGCAGTGTGGTTCTTGTCACTCGAGGAAGCTATTAAGCTAGGCTTACTGCATGTCCGTTCTTACACTGGCTGTATCTGTTGTTTTCGTTCGTAGAGTTTTCTTTAGCTCAGTTGTTGTACCTTTCTTCTGTTCCCAGCCTCCTCCAAAGATACCAGACAAGCAATTAGATGAAAGAGAGCACACAATAGAGGAATGGAAAGGTGAGACAGAAATTTTTTCTGTGTTCAGCATAAGCCGAGCTGGATGCCAGTAGAGCTGCAAGGAAGGAGGGCTAGGAGGAATGCTGAATTTGGCCTTTTAAGCATCGGTCAGCCAGGGACCTGGGCCGAGGGAGGTTGGGGGCGGGGGATGGTGGATACTGGGTGGATGGAAGGTTTCCTAGGACTACTACAAGGTTGAGAAATGGGATGGAGGCAGCGGGGGAGCAGCGCAAAGGAGGTGGAAAACCTGCCACGCCTGTCTTATAACGTCATTGCTTTCAGTGGGAGGGCTTTCCCCTCTATGGCTGTCCACCCCAGAAGGAATTCAGGGCTGGTTTCCCTGCTTTCTGGGTTGAGTCTCAGTTGGAAGAAAGACTGAATATAGTAAGTCAATCATAATAATTTTATTTATGACCAGAAGGCCAGAATAGCAGTAATAACCAGCCTCTTTTGAAAGCGACATGAAACCAGATCAGCTCCCTGTGCTGCCTAGTGTCCCAAGGACAGGGGGGAGGAATGCTAGGGAAATGGGGAGAAATGCATGGAGCCAAACTCCAGGGGGAAAATGAGAAACCAGCCATTGTAAGTCATGTGTTTGTGGAACAGCCGGCCGCAGGGTCATCGGCCGCCTGGGCTTGGTGATGGGCCTTTCTCCCTGAATGGATAGACCTTCTGAAAGGAAACTCTGTAGCTACCCTGTGGAATATCTTGGACTGCCTGCCAAAATATTATCATGTTCCAGCAAGTTCCAACACGTGCCAGCAAGCTTTTGTTCCGTAGGTCCTGTATTTCCTACCTTAGTCCCACTCATTCAAGGAGAACGGAACTGAAGCATGAAGCAATGGGCATTGCTTGGCTCGTCCAATACATTCCTTTGTGGCTTTCCTGTTTGAGAAGTGGAGTTTTATCTTTCAGAAAGTGGCTCTCTTTTTTTCAGATGAAATTGCTTCTCCAGCTTGCTTGAAATACTTGACAGATAACACTACACCTGCTCATTTTACAGAATTGATTTACAAAGAAGTTGTGGAGCTGGAGGAGAGGACCAAGAACGGAGTCATACGTGGGCAGCCATCTCCTTTAGGTTAGTTGCTACGCATGTTATTTGGTTAATGCCACGTATAAGGGGAAAAAGGCTGTTTTTATCCAGCCTTCGTTCACCTATTCAGTGTCTGGTCTGAATGTTGAGATTGTGCCTGTTTCTTATTCTTGTAGGTAGCTACGTAGCGTTTTGTATGTGTAAATACCCATATTTACATTGGGAATCAGAGTCATTGTATGCAATGGGAAGGCACGCCATTTCTCTGCAAGAAGGTTGGCAATGATATCTACCTAGGGGAGAAAAAGCAACGTGGTGCAGAGTGGATCGCCCTTACGCAGCTCTTTAGCTCTTTGTTTCCATTTCCGTTTCCCAGGCTGGAAATGTTGTTTCCACTGAGTGGTCAACGAGCTGGGAAGCGTCATGGTGTCTGGTGCGATCTAATGGGATACCATTACGATTAGACAAGAGTTGAGGGTGGCCCAGAGACACCCAGCTGGCTTTGGGGCTCAGGCAGAACTAGAACGCGTGGGCTGCTGGTTTCTACTCTGGCGCCTTTCAGCAGTACATCAATCGAGCTCTCAAGGTATCCCTTTAGGACAGGGCTGGGCCAAAGGATGCCCTCCCTGACCGTAGGAACAGGACTGCAGGTAACCAGGAACCGGCTAGAGGAAGAGAAACTTGCAGGAGTGAGGGATCTCTCTGTAACTGAAGGGGTGCTTTGTTTCTCATAGCACAGGTGTAACAACAATCCATGGCCCCCAGCATCCATCTTCATCCCCATCAGTCTGTGACGCATCAACTTCACTGTCCACTGACCGAACTCGGGCTTCTGACACCGACAGCAGCCTGGAAGCCTCAACGAGTCCCTTAAGTTGCTGTAGATGACAGCAAGTGGATGTAGGAGCGAAATGGCTAGCAACAAAAATCAGTGGTATTATTTTGGGGTATTTTTTAAAAGTAATTGTGGGATTAATTTTCAGAGTGCTAATTTTAAAGTAAAATAGTAAATCACGATGCTATTCTGTAATTAATTGTACAGTATGGAACTTAATTTTTATTGTTTTAAAATTGCATGCTTTACTACTGTGATTTTTGACTTTATTTTTTCAGGATGCATTTATAAGATAGGTTTATTAAATGTAATATTGCTATTCAGTTTGCTTATCACAGCTTCTTTCAAGGTCTTTCAGATTGGTTTTTAGAGAATCTGTATCAGCTGAGCCATTTTTCAATCTTTTATTTCCAATTGTTGTTACTCACGGGGTATCTAATTTTAGGCTATAGAATAAGGCCTGGATAAGGTCTTTGAACAAAAACGCTTCTGAAGTGCTTATCTGGGCAACGCTACATAAGCTGGCTGTGTCCCAACGGACCCAGAGGGAGGATACCCCTGGGGAGGGGGGGCAGTGGGCACGTCAGTGGTTTCAGCGGGGAGGCGGGCTGAATGTTGCCATCAGCCTGGCTTGCCTCCCTTGCACAAGGCCTTTAAAATAACGCCCCCCGTTTATACCTGCAGTGTGTTCACTTCTCCACTCATTGGTTGCATTCAGATTAGCACCAATTCTAGAAACAAACATGCTTCCACCCCCAACCCCATTTTGACAGTTCTCCTCTCAACCTGTAGCTGATACTTCTGGATCTGTGGTAAAAGTATTATATATAAGTGTACTGTGTACGCTCCAGGGGGGCTCAGCCTGTACAATACTTTGTGATGTTGGGTATTAGAACAACCCAACAAAAATCACAAAAGACAGGAGGACTGCACTAAGATCATGTTTTGGTTAATTTCCTTCCAAGAAAAAAAAAATGTAGAAATGTTGAATATAATTAAAAATTGTCCTGCTTTCTGCTGAAATGAGTTTCAATACATATCTTCGAATATGTATTTCATTTTATTCCTCTGATTCAAATTCTAAGTTCATTGTGAATTTAAAATTGTGAATTTTAAAATTGCAGAGTTTTAAGAATTAAGCTTGTACTATCTGCATTGTGTAGATAGAAGTCATTTCTGTTTGTTTTTATTTATTAAATTTGTATGCTGCCAGTTTCACCGGACTCTTGGCAGGTTACAGTAACCAAAATGTCCATGGTTTGCATAATTCTACAAACAGTAAAACATACTCGGCAAATGTGACACTGAAAGAACCGATGAGAGACAGTAACATTAGAACGGACACGGTGCAGGATGGCAGATGGATCCCTCGCAGACCTAAAACCATCCCTGTTCCTCAGCCCAGTGACAGTTGCTCCGCATCCACAGATCTCAGTGACAAGAGAAGCAAAACTAAATTTGGCCTCCAAGGGCAGTGGGAATAATTCAGATTTTAATGTTTTCTGGAAAGCTGTCACTTTGGGGGCAGCATAAGTGAGACTGTGCCCTTTGTTTGGGTCTTCTGGTGAAAACGTTTTTTCCTGGCTTCAGCCACCTTCCTTCCATTATCGTGGAAAGGTGGAATCTCCCGTTATATGGGGAGAAGAAGAAAAAAACTCAGTGAGAGAGAAATAGCAACAGCATTAAATTTATAGACCGCTCCACAGTGCTTTGCAGCCCTCTCTGAGCAGTTTACAGCATCGGCCTATTGCCCCCCACCCCACCCCCACCAACCTGGGTCCTCATTTGACCGACCTTGGAAGGATGGAGGGCAGCCTTGAACCTGGCGAGATTCGAACAGCCAGTCTCCTGGCAGTCAGCAGAAAGAGCCTGCAGAAGTTATTTTGCACCATAGCCCCCGTTTCTGAGCAAGCCTAGGCAATTATTTCCAAATCCTGTAAAATTTGTCAGCCTGGGCAATTCCATACAAGGATCAGAGAGCACAAATTGATTCACATGCCTAATTTATTGCGCCTATTATATCGTGCCGTCCGCTCAGTTTTGGGTCAGGGATACAGGCTGTTTGACTGATCTGGATTAGCACTGGGGGGGGGGGGGAGAAGCAGTGCAGTTCCCTCTGAGAATAAGCCTAATGCACAGTCGAGGCAAAAGTCTGCAAGTGAAAAAGATCCTGTTAGTGGCCCAGGGGGGCAAAACTAATAGTTCTAGCAGGTCCTCCTATAAAAGGAGAGCATTAAAGGGCAACTGAAAAGTCATTTTAATTTTGCAGATCAGCCAAGCATTCTTCTTCCACGCCGAGAAGGGTGATCCAGAGCCATCCCCTCTCTTGGCCGCCACTATGTATACTACTCCATGCTGGGTCTAGCAAAGCATTCGTAACGTTGTAAGTGAAATCCTTTCGCCTCTTCCTCACCAGTCACTGATCCTCCATTTAGGCCAACAATTGTGATGCTACTACGTGAGCAAGGAGGGTGGTTACAGACCAGGGCAAAACTGCTTTGGGTGGGAAGCCGAGGGCGCCTGCCTGTCTTTAGACGTGACTCCCTGCAGTGATATTCCCCAGAGTGGTGAAGAAATACTCCATCTCTTCTTGTAGGAAGCGGTTCCTCCTCTCTGCGTCTTTCCTTGCCCGCTCAGAGTTCCTCAGCTTGATTTGCAGCACGGCCTCCTTCTTCTTCCCTTGGATGAGCTCTTCTTGTAGTCTTGTCACCAGCTTCCTCAGTTCTGTGCTTGTTCCTTCCATTCTTAAAGGGAAGAGAGAGTTTATTACATAGCGGGTGCATTTTGAACGGCCATGTCACCAGAATGCCTGTGGAAGTCCCGTCTCTGTAGTTACAGCCTAGTTTGGTTTGAAGAGATGTTAAGATGTCTTTGGCCATCCTTCATTTCCTTTAGCCACCCCCTCCGCCACTTTGCTTGCCCAGCGGCCCTGGGCTTGCACAGGCATCTCGCGGCCCTTGACCACTTCCTGCCCTGATCATGGAGTCCTGTCCCGTCTCCTCCCCCCCCCCACACACACACCCCAGAGGATGTTTGTGAAAGTTAATGTCTTGGTCTCCCACAATTCAGATCAGGATTACAAGACAACAGAAGGTGAGCCATATGGTTTCTCTGTAGGAATATGTGCCTTGTGTACCACGGTTCCTAGCCCCACTGCCCAGGCAGTTGCACAGAGAGAGAGAGAGAGAGAGAGAGAGAGAGAGAGAAAGCCATTTTGCCTTTTATTCTCAGCTGTTGCATAACCAACTCCCTTGGTTCCCTGCCTCTCTTTCCTTGCTTTTGGCCTGGCGTACCTCTTAAAAGCGGCCTCGTACCCAGACCTTTGTTTTCGTAGCTCCGCCTTCAGCTCTGCGATGAGATCTTGCAGGGCTTCTGAGCAGTGAACGGCATCTCTAGAAGCGACGGACAAATGGCGTCCCTCCCTGCTTCTGCCGCAGCCCGTTTCTGGCTCCCCACCGTTGCTCCCCAGAGAGACCTCGTCGTGGGGCAAGGGGCTGCCCAGAGGGCTCAAGGCCAGGCAGGCTCTCGTCGTGGTGGTGCACGTGGCACAGGGGGTGACAGAATCCACAGCTAGAGACAGGCTGCTGGAGGAAAGGGAGCCGCTGGGGCCGGCATTGCTACAGGCTTCCTTGGAGCGATGAAGAATGGGGACGTTGTCGTAGGCAGAGAGCCTTTGGTGCGAATCGGACCCTTTGCCTTTTCCTCCACGGTGGCCTTGAACAGCTGACCGTCCACCCAGCAGCCCATTCTCATGTAAGGATAAGCAGCAGCTTTCCAAGAAGGGGCTCCCTGGTGGGTGATAGAGCGACCTGGTTCCTGGCTGCCGCAAAGGGGAGCCTTTCCAAGAGGCCAGGCCTTGCTTCCTGTGGTTGGGGCTGCTGGGTGGTTGCTGGCCGTTTCCTTTCTGGTTGCAGTCTTGCATGCGAGGCTGGGCTGCAGAAGGCCCAAGAGCTGGAAGGGAGCCAGCATGGCTGCAAAGGCTGTTTTCTGTCTGGCCACTCTGCAAGTTCCAATCTACCCAACTAGGTGGACACTGGAGATCAGCATCCGGCTGAACCGAGTCCTGAATCAGAGAGGGATCAAATATCTTCGCATGCTCGCTTATCAGAATAGCCATTAAGCCCTGAACCAGTGAAGTACCTGTGAGATGAATATTCAGACAGTCATGTTAGGGCAATTTGTTTTGCAGAGAAAGACATTTACTCAACATGAGGGCATTAAATATCAAGGGATCCCTATTTCCTTGAAAACCAAGGGAGTGAGTTAAACGTGGTCTGGAGGGCTGCACAATTAAATGGATATTCAAGTGGGGTGTGGCAGGCATCGGTCCTGGAATCTATATCGTCGTTTCCAATAATGACTTAGATGAGGAAGGTGGAGAGAATGCTGATCTGATTTGTAGATGACACAAAATTGAGTGGGAAATCTGATACCTTTTCCACGGGTGATTATCTTGAGTAGTGAGTTCAGCTCCAGATATCACAATTCAAGAGGGATTCGGCCAGAGAAGCAAGTTCAGAGAAGGGTAGTGAAGATGATCAAGGAAGCAGAAATTGAGATTTACAAGGAGGAAACGAAGAGACAATTTAAGAGGAAAAGACTGAGCAGGGAAGAAGAGGACCTGAAAGGATATCACAGAGAAAAAACACAGACAGCTTTCCGAGGTGGGATATTGAATAAACGCAACAAAGAGTGCCACGACACCATAAAGAATCTCAAATTCATAATGGCATATATACCTATGGATATGAATTCACCAGATGTATAGTTTGGTATTCTAAGAGAGAATCATACATTTTCTTCTAGGACGACGTGACAACTTGATTTAAATCAGAAAACAATGCCTCCCAATACACTCAAAGGTACAAAATAATAATTCTAGTGACATGATTTGCAAAATAGTATTTTTCCTGAATGAATTCAATTTTTCATATCAAATCAAACTGAAAATCTAAACTGAAGATCTGGATTAGAGTCAGTCCACGCAGCCTTAGTCTCTGCGCCCCTCAAAATCAATTGGCCATTTTATGGAGTCAAATCACCCATTCATCAGCTGAACACACGTTTGCTGGGGTTTTGCCTTCGGTCCGTTTGTAAACTTCTACTGTTCTACATTCAGTTCTTCTCGAGTACGGGCAACTGAATCTGCAGGCCCTGGGACTGCCCAGTGGTGTCCATTTCCAGCTGGGGCTGGACTGCTACCCTATGTGGGGGCGGGGGGACGGATGGATGGACGGACACAGGCTACCTACCTTCCATCTGAGCCACAGGGTCTTCCACCTGAGGCCGAAGAATGTTTGGTCCAAAAACCGTGGCAAGGTTCTGGATGCTCATCTTGTTATGGCTGGCGTAAGACTGAACTTCATCAAGAAACCTTGAAAGCCCCCCACCCCCCATCCCCCAAAAATCAATGAAAATTTCATAAATAACCACCAGCAATTCTCAGTGGCAAAGACCAAGATTTCCAACCTTAACTATTGCTCCACGCATGGCTAAGCTATCCCCACGGCTACCTAATTTGGACAACAGGCTCAGCTCAGCCACTGGAGATGCCCTTTGGGGAGGGGGCTCATCAATAATCAGGGTGGGATTTGGAAATGCTGCAGCCAGTCAGGGAAAGGTTTAAGGTTCCCTGATTTGCACAAATGAGCCCTGAACCAGAGTGGGACCCAGCACACATCCTCTGGGTTAAAATCTGTCTTCAACCAAAACCAGTGGCCCTGCTTGCACAGGGTGTCACTCACAATCCTACACAGCTCCAGAAAACATACAGCTAACACTCTTATTTTCTGCCTCTGAGTCAGTCCTGACTTCTGCCTGGACAAGTCCATGCAGCTTTCTTGACACCCTTTTCAGGAGTGCTTTGCCATCACCGCCTCCTCCTCCCTGGGGCTGAGAGAGAGGAAAAGGCCCAAGGTCACCCAGCTGGCCTTGTGTATAAAGCGGGGCTACAACTCCCAGTCTCCCGGTTTCTAGCCCGATGCCTTCACCACTGCACCAAACTGGCTCTCAACACTATCACTAGGTAGAATCTGCTCTTTGATAGGGTTCCACTTCCCTGTTTGGACCCATACCTCAACAATTGGAATTAAATATTCATTCTGGGTTGGGGTTAGAGTTTGGATTTATGTCAATTAGCTTTATCCCCAGTCAAAATAAAAAAGGAGTATTTTCTGATCAATTTTAAAACTGAAAACAATTTATAATACTAGTTTTTTTTCCCCATAGAATCTTTGTTAAATCATGAGCTTTGTACCATTCCTGACCAGATCTGTTATGGAAACAGCCCCAGGCTTGCCTCCCCGAAGGGAGACTGTGAGGAATAAATACAGAGGTCAAGAAACCTGTTTTCAGATCATAAACGTGAAACCGATCACCTTGTGCTGAAGGTGCCTTTTATTTCTCTCCCGAAGTCCCTGAAGAGCCCCCAAATCCTTTCTGGCAGAGACGCAAGCACCACACCACCTTCCTCTTGGCAGCTGCCTCACCATCACCCAACAATTGTGAACAAAACGGAAGTAGCAGCAGGGTTTTCCTTTACCTGCAGCTGGTCTGGCCAGCCGGGATCCCCTTCCCCGCCCATGGACTGGAGGACTTACCTGCAAATGAACCTGAGGAGGTTGTAGTTGGCCTCAGGAAGGCAAAGCACCTGTTTTGTCAGTTCCCGAGTTCCCTGAGGGATCATACAAATAGGAACAGCAGGTGCCATTTTTCACGCAACAGCTAAAGGAAGTTTATCGGATACGGGGGTGGGGGGTGGGGTCCCTGGCAGCCCTCTCCACCCCCCGAGATCTCAGCCCTTGGCCTGAATCTCTTAAGAGACTGCAGCCTGAATCCAGGACCTCCTCCCGGGTCCCGAAGGCTGACTTTCCCGTTTCAACCTGCCCCACCCTCCACGTCAGCCATGACAGGAAAAGGGCAGCAAAAAGGAGGGAAGGGCTAGAAGGAGGAGGAACGCTTTTGCTTTGTGAATTTTTCACACCAAAAAGCAGGATATAGGTGGGCCTAATTCATTGTCAACAGAGAGCTCATTTTTATGAAACTTTTAAAAAATCACATTTCAAAAGCTTATAAATTAATAGGTATTTATAACTGCCAGTTTAAATTAGTAAAGCTGGAGAAACCTTTAGGCTGAGTTTGATCCATTTTGTTATTTTTTCCTTTTTTTTGTCAACACTACAGAAATGGTTGGCCGCTGTCTTATTTCCTAAAATAAAGATCATTTTCCAGAGTAGCTATTAGCCCTGGGATTCCTTATAATATTGCATCCAAGAACTTGTAACCTTACCCAATCTCAAATGCAAGATTAATGCATTGACCTTGTGAACACGACTCGGCTCCTTTTATCCAGTATACAGTGAAGGGGCCAATTGGGTTCAAGAGTTTGCACATCTTTAGCCGCCCCCCCCCCCCCAATATCTTCAGACTATCCTGCTGCCGCCGCCTCAACCTCTTCCTTCTTCACTCCTGTTTATGCAGCTGCTTTTCCCTTGGATAGTGACTTCTGCTGAATCCACTGACCTGGCCTTTGTCCTTGGAAAGCAACTGGCCGCAGGAGAGAAAGTCTTGGTAATTGGCAAAAGGAATGACGGGCTCGGGAAGCTCTCGGAGGTATCGCTTCAGGAGGGAGGCCACTGCGTGGACATCTGTATTTCTGCAAGAAAGGAGGGGCAAGGAAGGGGTTCGGCAGCAAGCCGGCAGAAAAGCTGCTGCCCTGGATGAAGACGGGAAAGCTGATGCTGACGGGCTTCAAACTTCATTGATTTAAAAAAACAAAACACCTTGTTGAGTAGCTGGAATTACGACCGGAGTGCTGTGCTTGGGGACCAGGCAAGTACACAGGCAGCTCCATCACTCTCTGGGGATGGGACACGGAAGTGGGAATTTCCCACAGGCAGAATGAGATACAGCAAATGTGAGCAGGAAACGGAAGTGGCAGAATCAGGTGCTCTTCTCTCTTTCCGGCCGTTACCTTCCTCCCCAGCTAAGAGCATCACTCACGATATGTTACCTGGCCAGATAAGTCCAAAAAGTCACCCTGCCTTGAGTGCCGACAGCCAATCCACAGGATGGAATACTGCACGTCTCCCAAGTTACTAAGAGCACGTGCCTATTAGCCCGGTCCCTAATTCATCCATCATTCCTTCTTCTGCTTGAGCAAGGGGTTGGACTAGAAGACCTCCAAGATCCCTTCCAATTCTGTTATACCTGTAGAACTGGTAATCAACTAACCACCCAGCGCCGAGGGTGTCTCACTGCAGGAGCTTATGCAGCTGGAACCGGAGGTGCAGTTATGCCGTCCATCTGCTCTTTCTAGTCCACGGCTGCGAGGGAGGAGAATATGGCTTCCCTGGCTTTGCAGGAAAGACCAAGGTTGTCCTCTCCCGTTTGCTCTTTCAAACCTCTGCCCAGCTGCTGGGTGAGGGGGACGTCCCCACGTTTGAGTGATACCCAATTCTCTGTGGCTACCCCAAACAATAGGGGAGATGCTGTGGATATCCTCTCATCCTCCTCAGAGGCTGTCAGGGTCTGGATGGGACCAAGGAGACCGAAACTGAACCTAGGCAAGTTGGAGAGACGGCTTCTCCCTCATAGTTCTCACAACCATATTATTTCTGGCTGGCAGGCATTACTCTGAAAAAGGAAGTTCACCAGCTCTTTGGGGGACATCGGCCTCCTTCTAGAGTCTCACCTATCCTGCCTTTGAGCAGCAGGAGGAAAATGGACTTGGTGGCCCTTTGCCTGCCTCCAACTGGTGCACCAGTTGCAGCCTTGTTTGGCACAGGAGAACCTCGCTGGCTGCCTTAACACATGGCCTCAATATCACCCGGGCACAGCCTGGCCACTCACCTTACACAGACCACTCAGAGGTACACGGCTTAAGTACACTGACAAAATCCTGGATAACTCAGCCCAGGACAAAATGCCTTTTTGAATATGTTCTCCTGACGCTATTTTCCTTCCATTTGTTTCCTTTCCAAGTTATTTATGTTCAGTTCTGATTTTGCAATGTTCATGAGGGACGTGGCTTTAATCCTGAAAAACCAGTTTTCACTAAGCCTGTTGAGCCCACAACTATTTCAAGATGGAGCAGTAAGGAATTGTAAGTTTTCTTTAAAAATATTGCTGTTCTTTTTCTACATTTTCTAGAATCCTGGCACTCTGGCAAATTAGCCATCAATAGACACTTAGACATAAATGACATCTACATATTGTGCAAAATAGCAAAAGTAATAGCACTAAGACTTCTATACCGCTTCACTGCTTTATAGCCCTCGCTAAGTGGTTCATAGTCTCAGCCTCTTGCCCCCAACAATCTGGGTCCTCATTTTACCAATCTCGGAAGGATGGAAGGCTGAGTCAACCTTGAGCTGGTAAGATTTGAACTGTCAAATTGCAGCCAGCCGGCAGGCACCAGAAGTAGCCTGCAGGACTGCATTTTAACCACTGCGCCATCGTGGCTCCCATCCAGACCACAAGAGACAGTCAACCAGCTGAACGGGGAACAAAAGGACCAAAACACTCCCCCCCCCCAATTGGCACCCAGATGACCCAGAGATTAAGTCCAAGATTAACATCGGACCATCTATCAAGTAAACAATACCCCAATCAAGGAACTGCCCAAAACAAGCCAACACGACAAAGAACGTCAATCAGAATAGAGCTGGAAGGGGCCTTGGAGGTCTTCTAGTCCAGCCCCCTGCTCATGCAGGAGACCCTCTACTATTTCAGGCAGGTGGCTGTCCAGCCTCTTCTTAATAACCTCCAGTGATGGAGCAGCCACAACCCGAACCGGTTGATTGTCCTCCCTGTCAGGAAGTTTCTCCTCAATTCTAGGTTGCTTCTCTCCTTGATTAGTTTCCATCCGTTGCTGCTTCTTGTCTTTTGGGGCTTTGGAGAATAGGTTGACCTTCTCTTTGTGGCAGCTCCTCAGATCCTGGAATATTGCTGCCATATCACCCCTAGTCCTTCTTTTCTTTAGTCTGGCCATACTCATTTCCTGAAACCATTCTTCATGTTTCTCTAAGATGGCCCCAGGGCGAGCCATTCGAGCATCAACTGAGAGCAAAGCCCACTTCTTACTAGCACTGATGATATTAGCTAGTTTGGGTAATGAAACATCTGCAAGAAAACCACCAAGCTCAGAGGCCACCAAGGACCTCACAGGTGCATGTTACACAATGCAGGATAAGCCTTGTAGAATGTGACATCTTGGAGAACATCTGTCTGGTAGAACATAACCCCCAATCAGCATGTTGAGTGGCCACTCTGGGGAGAGGAGATGAGAGAAACATCTGCACGGCACCATGTTAAGTGAAGGTTTTATATGGTTCGATACTTGTTTTATTGCCGTTTGTTGTGTCACTATTTTCATCTCCTACCACCCTGAGACACAGCTTGGGGGGGATCTCATCATACACCCCTAAGCAAATAAAGGAGCCACCCTGCAGTTCCAAGCAGGGCAGAGTCGGTCCCTGAACCTGGGGAGGGCCTTGCAGCCCCCTCAGCAGTTCCTTGGGAAAGGGACCCCTGTACCTGTCAAATTGGGGCTTCTTCCCGCCATCAAAGGAGTCCTGGAGGTCCTTGACCAGATTGGCCTGCCCCGGCAGGCGGAACAGCCCCTCCTCGGTCAGGCCACGCGTCCGAATGAAGTCCACACATTGCTCCACCAGAAGGGGCACCGGCTGCCACCCAGATTTCTTTTCATAGCTGACTGTGTCTTCCAAGCGCTGACCAAAAATCCCTGCCAATGAGAGGAAGCAACTCTTGCCACAGCCACAGCTCTCCAGGTGGGAGGAGATACGGGGACCAGAAGGGCCCTGAGCACGAAACTGAGGAAAAACTGGAGGCCGGGTGCCTTTTGCACCCGAGTCAGTCTACACGGAACCTCTTTAGAGAGATCTTTCCTGAGATAGTTTCAGGTTCTGGTTGCCATTTCACTGTTTCATGTTGTTTCAGTAAACCTGTTTAGTGTCATTGTGCTTAGTGATTTTTGTATACCACCCGGAGTTGTTTGAGTTGGCTGACCATATAAATATTCTGATTAAACAATAAGCCAATAAATATTATTTATCCATTACATGTCCTGCGTAGGGACACGTGGAATGACCGAATAGGTCGAAAATAGAAAAGGGTGTAATAAAAACATATTCTTTAATATGCTAAAATCACAGTGTGTTTTGAAGAAATTACTCCCCTAAAAGCTTTATGGTATAACACTTGAGGGTTTTTTCACACACCAATGGTTTTAAAGGTGGTTGCTTTAGAAGAGGTGCCTGCTATTCCTATACCTGAATCACAAACAGCCATTTTCTTCTTTAAAATGAAGAGTGTCCTTTTTGGAAGAAAATATTCAGATCATGGGGGGGGGGGGAACAATTGTATTTAGGGTTACATAGGTGCAATACTACAGATCTAGACTTTTTGTTGCTATATTTTCTGGGAAACTTCTACTGAGTCAATGCGTTTGTGCAACACTTTGCTCAGCCAAAGTATAATCGGCTGGTTTGTCTGGTGCAATTCATTTGCAGCGTTGTATGAACCCAACTAGCTTGGGTTAATTCAGTCAATCATGGGTACCATGGATTAGTGTACTATGGGAACATGCTACATTCTACTTAATTATGACAATAAACAAAAGCATGAACTGGATATTCTGAAAAACAGGGAAGAATAAAATATTTCAAGAAAAGATTGGACAACCATTTGTCTGGGATGGTATCCGGTCTCCCTGCCTTAGACATGGGGTTGGGGCTGGACTAGAGGACCTCTGAGGTACCTTCTGGCCCTAGGATTCCATGGCTTCCAAAGAGGGGGGCATTGTGTGGTGGGCCTTTTCTTTGCAAATGAACCAAAGTCCAACTTTTTTTCTGAAGAATATAATTGTAATAAACCGTTTGATTATGGAATCAGTATGGTTGAGTTTGAAAACATTATTTGCCTATCTGGTGTGGTTTCTTAGGGGCGGGGAATCCTTGGCATTGTAGGCCATGATGAGGAAAGGGAGGCTAGAGTCTCAAGGCATTCTGAAGTGGATCAGCACCAGGACTTTGGGGGAAAAGATAGGAGTAAAAATCAACTTTGCTACCCTAAACCGGGGCTTGGTATCCCTCCCTGCCTTGTTTTGCATGCTCAGCACTTTCCATCCTGGGCCCAGAGACCAGCTGGGTGTTTTGTTTGGCTTCACATCCAATCTGCCCAATATTTGGTTTAAGGTTTAGGAAAAGCTCTTAGTCTGAACAACTCTACTGGGAGGAGTTGGTAGGGGGGAAAGTCTTCTCTCCAGGCAGAAAGCTCGCCAGGAGCCGGTCCAGGGCGGGTTGGAGGGCATGGAAACCCTTGAACTCAGCACGCAGCGGGTGACCTGGGGGAAGGGAGAGAGCTGGCCTCCCCTTCAATGCCATGCAAATATCCCTCCATCAAGGAAGACGGAGGAACCCAACGCCAGCCACATCCTTCTATGCTGCCGGGGTAGCTGGCCTCCTCCAGCAGACGCCGACGGCGCAGGCACCAGAAAACGGCCGCAAGGAAGCCGATTCTCACGTTATCCCTGGGGGCGGATTTCCAAGCTCTGGTGCACAGCCGGGGTTCTCCCAAGCAGAGCTGCGATGCACAACCCGAGTCTGGGTGGGCGTCTCCTGCCTGGCGAAAGGCGCTCAGGTGCTCCCAAAGAGCCAGGCTCCCCTCCCCGCGGGATCAAGCCCCCCCTCGCCCCCCAGAAGGCCAGGTCCGCGTCCAAAGAGCCCAAAGGAAGCTGGCAGGCAGCGGCCGATCGCCCCGTTTGGGAAGGGGGCGCCGGGCCGGGCTCGGGACCAACCTCGGCCCGGAGACCGGCGGCGCCCCTCGCTCGGCCCTGGCGGCTCTCACCTCTGCGGGCGGCGCAGCAGCCGGAGCCGGGGCAGGCGGCCAAGAGGCAGCAGAAGCCGGGCAAGGCGAGCGGGCCGGAGCGGCCGAGCGGGAAGCCGGGCATCGGGCGCGCGGGGCTGGCGGCGGCGGCCGGAGCGGGAGAGCAGCGGCTGCCTCCTTGCCTGCGGAGGATGACGGCCGCCCATCCCTCCTCGGCCCCGCTCAGCGCCAATTAGGAGCCGTCGCTCAAGGAGTCTGCAAGAGGCCTGCAGCTCCCCTGGGCAGGCCGCGTCTTGCCCGGCCGCCGCCTGGCTGGCGGCGCAGGGGGGCCGCTCCCTCCGAGGTGCCGGCCTTCGCTCCCAGGGCTGGAGCCTCGCCGGATCCCGGCTGCGGCGCCGAGGAGCAGAGCCTGGCCCGCCCCGCCCCGCGCGCTTTCCACGGGGCTCAAGCCTGAAGCGCCACCGCCAGGGAGGTCGCTTGGTTCGGCTGCAGGGGGAGGCGCCGGGTGGGGTAGCAACCGCGCCGGCCCGGACTCTTTGGCCGCGAGCGCAGAGCCAAATGGGAGCGCTGGAGCCGACGCGGAGATGTCCCGGCACATGGAAGCCGGAGGCGCCTTCAGTCCGGAGTCCAGCAGAAAAGGCCGCCGCCGCTTCAGGGAAGGGGCGGGGCGCCCCACGCGAGGCGAGAATCCAAGGCGGCGGCTGAGATGCGGCCCGGAAGGGCGCAAGCAAGTCGCCGGCGCTGGGCACCCCCTGCCCCTCCGGGGCTCCTTCCGGAAGAGTTTCCTGAAGCCCCGGCCTGACCGGGCTCGTTTGCTACTTCCCCAGCTTCTTCTTTTCCGAGTCCTGCTCTGCCAAGGGAGGGAGGGACAGAGCCAGGCATCCGTGCTAGCAGGAATTCTGATAAATGAGGCTGCTGGAGGATTTCCAACGAATGCAAGTCTTAAGTGTTGCTCAGGCTGCAGCAGTCCTAATGCAACGAATGGTGGCGTTTGCAACCTAATTCCAGAACTCGTGCATTCATCAATGCAGTTAATTAACCCTCTGTGCCCGTATTAGCTGGTTGCTGAAGCATTTCGTGGCAAATCTACCACAGCCCTTGGTTGCTGTAGCCAGCGTCTTCCTCATGTGCCCAAGGAAGGGCTCTCCGGCTGCTCACCTCCCAATTATCCTGGTTGATGCTCCAGGCCTTAAGCTGTCGAGGAAGCAGCTGCTCACCAGAGTCGGTTCAGCTCAGGCAGGAGGAGAATCATAGTAGCCAAACAGCCGGAGGGTGAAACTCTTTTGTTAATGGGAGCGAGAGCAGGAGCCTCTCTCAAAAGAAGCCACAGCCTTTCCAGAGTTATGACGATAATCATTCTGTCATCAGAGCAGGAAGAAGGAAGTCAGCCTTTCTGGGGATTCCTTCCCGTGAGAGGAACCAGAGAGGAAGCTATGGGAGCACCATCAGTTGAGACTTTCAAGAAGAGATTGGACTGCCATTTGTCAGAAATTGGGTAGGGTCTCCCGCTTGGGCGGGGGGTTGGACTAGATGACGTACAAGGTCCCTTCCAACTCTGATTATCAGTCATCTGTAATCTGTAAAGCTCTGAGCAGGGTGTGTGTGTCTGGGCCAGCGTCCCTCCGCACCAGCCCAGCACCCCATCTCAAGGACTCTGGTCCAAGCCCTGGCATCTTCTCAGAGATGCTGACATCAGTAGAGGCCACAGAGGCCAGCAAGCACACAATTCGTAGAGAGTTGGATCGGGAATTGTATCCAGTCTGGGCACAACAAAAATTAAAGAGGCCAACAGCCTTAATTTTTCTACATTCTGGGAAAACTAAAATTTCAAAATAAGCCAATTATTCCCCTCTATAATTTACCATGTAAACTCCTATCCAGGGACATGTTTTGACCTGATGGATACATACACAGATGTCATGTTATCCAGTTTGATGTGCGCAGCATTACACAAGGCTCAGAAAAGGAATAACAAAGTCAGCTAAAGAAATAAAAGTTTGAGATTAAAACAGGAAGCATTATATGACTAAGCGAGCAAAAGCCCATTTATCCACAGCTGTCTTCATTTCTTCCAAACAAACTTTTGATTTCCCCAAAAAGACCATATACTACTCCGAACCTCCTCCCTAAAGTGGCATGCCTTAAAATTCCTCCATCCATTATTTTCTTTAGTAAGCATTAAGCAGTCTTTTCCTTACTTTGGCAATGGCCAGCTGTCTGGACTTCAACTGCCAGAATTCTCAACAACAGCTCTACTGGCTGTGGAAGTCTGGGATCTGAAGTTCATTTAGCTAGAAATGGCTGAGATTGGGATGCTGCTACAGTTGCACCAAGGCAACTACAGTTGCATTAAGGTCACAGTAGTATATTTTCTCTCATTACAATTTATCAATTACCTGCATTTGTTATCCATTTTCTCTTCCAAAATAGTTTTCTTTTCTGGTCTTTGATAGATCCACACTGCCTCTCCTATCATATAACCTAACATTTGCTGCAGGTCATTTGGGTTCACAGGAGACGCATACACAAACACAGACAAATTCACACCCTCAATCAACACGGCCCATCACACTGTCAGTAAGCATTCTTTGCACCTTTATCTATAAATGCATGAAAGAAGCAACCAATGCCTGGTTTAGTGCTGAATTAAATATTCAATTTATTCTTTGTATCCATCTATAATCATTTCTGAATTTGAGCAAAGAATATCCAGTTTAGTGGTGGGATTCAAAAAAATTTACTACCAGCTCTGTGGGCGTGGCTTGGTGGGCGTGGCAGGGGAAGGAAGAAGCCTGCTTCCCAGCTCCGTCCTCCTGTGCAGGACAACCAAAGGAGACCCAGCCGATCAGCTGGGACTCAATGGGAGGCAGAGAAGAAATGGGGTTGGTGGGGCCAGACAGAGGTGGCATTGGCCAGTTCTCGGAAGTACACAAAATTTCCAGTCCCGGTCCTCCAGAACTGGTCAGAACCGGCTGAATGCCATCTCTGATCCAGCTCCATAACTGTACAAAACCCAACTGAGGCCCACTCGGTCCCTTTATTGTACATTTCTTCTACATCAACAAACTGACATTTGCTTCTCCAGAGGGGCATTTCTTACCAACCCACAAAACTCTCATCTCCATATCCTGCCCAGCCTGAAGCCCCACAGCTACTAATTCTGCTTTACTGTGATAATTCAAAAAAAATAAATAGCTGACTTACAGAAATGTTATATGAAATGAAATAAGTTTTAGAGGGGATATTTCATATCAGAGATGACCTCCTTGCCCAGGCTCCCTCCCACTTTGCCCTGAGCCCAGCAGAGGTTAGGGCTCCTCGCCCTAAGAGTTGAGGGCAGAGAGGCTGCCCTTCTCCGGTTTCATTCAGAGGCTTCGCTCAGTCTCCTGCTCCCCACTAGAGCCGCCCAGGTGGGGTCTGGGGGCTGCCCAAGGATTCAAGGGGAGAGGGGGAAATCATGTCAAAATGAAGCTGACAGGCCTTTTGGCCCAAGGATGAAATAGAAACTTAAAGTTAAGCCACCCTTTCTGAAAGGCAGTTGAAACCAGGCTTCCCCTGAATTCTCCCTTCCGTATTCCATTGCCCGATGCAGCCTTTTTTTTTTTTAAAAAAAATGTAGAATAGCTAATTGGACTCAGGCTCAATTGCTATAAAATGCTTGTTGTAATGAGCCAGCCTGGCCACAAGATGTCAGGATTGTCTTAGTCAAGAAGAATGACCTGGCTTTCCAGACTGACTTGCCTGGGATGCCTAGAGAAACCCAGCTAGTGGGCTCCAAGCCCTCCTTCCTTTGGCATCATTTATCTGACGCTGCTGGCACCCCAGAGACCATCATTCTCTCCTCCCCACCTCCACTTCTCCAGCCATCCCCCAAAGAGGAAGGTGTGGCTTTCTGGCACCTGACAAGTGCTGCCCAAAGGCAAACGGCCCTGAAAAGCAGCGGGGGGGGGGGGCACCGGGGGGGGGGGGGCACCTGGGGGGGCTTAGAGAAGGGGAGGGGGACAGAAGCAGAGGGGCCCCTCAACCTGCCTGAGGATGACTCACTACAGACAGGCTGTGTGTTTTGGAGGCAGATTTATGATTTACACATTTATGAAGCAAAGCAGGCAGAACTTGCCTTCCTATTGTGCTCGGAGCCAACTGAGGAGAGCCTCAGGGGGGTCTCTTGCCCTGGTGGGCTTTCTCCTCCCCAGGCTGAGCAGGGCACCTGCAGGCCTTGAGCCATTCCTGATTAGGAAGGGGTGCCCAGCTGAATGAATATCAGACCTTCATGGGGGACAATCCTCTGCTCCCTTCCTCACTTATGTTACCTGCATTGCACAAATATGTGATCGTGCAGATTTTTTTTGTAGAAGTGAAAAGGGATGATAAAGTTTGTTCACTGAACCATGAAAGAAGCGTGTGAATGCTCTCTACACCTGCATTTTCCCTGTAAAAGCAGAACATTCTGGCCATGGCAGAGAGCATCAAATTAACTTCTTGCAACAATTTTACCTACATTTGATGAAATAAGGTTTTAGTGTATTTTCCAAGAGATCTTTCTGCAAACTGAACAATTTTTGTATGCTTTAATATACAAAAAAAAACAGTGTTAATTTTATCCACCAAAGTGCTTTTTTTTTTTCTTCTGTTCAACTGAATCCAATTTTTGGAGACTTCCTGGATGTATTTTCTTGGCAGTTTTTTTCAGAAATGATTGCCTCCTTCCTGGTGCTGAAAGAAGTGACTGGCCCAAGGTCACCCGGCAATCATCATACCCAACATGGCAATAGAGCCGAGAGTCTCCTGGTTTCTAGCCTGATGCCCAGGGGTCCTCAAACATGACAGTTTTAAGACTTGTGGACTTCAACTCCCAGAATTCCTCCTCCAGTCATTTTAGCTGAGGAATTCTGGGAGTTGAAGTCCACAAGATCCTTGCCTTAACCACTACACCAAACTAGCTATCAAAGTACTTTTTAAAAAATCATAAAAATTGATACCACCATAAACAGTGGTAACTTTATATTGTTAGCTTGAGTTTTGAAAAAGTTTTATGTATACAGTAGCATCCTTCGTGGGAATCTTACATTTTTTGCAGCCCAGGCCAAAAAAACCTTAAAAGATCATCCTGCAAATGAGCCAGTTTTCTTCCTTGGCCTAGTAATGTCTTCCAGCTTAGCTGGGGAGACCTTGAGGATCTTGGGAAGGCTATGGTTAAACCAGAGCGGCTAATAAGAGAGCTTTGTAAAACCATCTTACTGTAACTGAATTGGCCTGGCCATTCCTTTCCTAGCAGAGTCTGATGGCCGATCTGCAAAATCTGGGCTTAATCCCTCAAAACACTTCATTACACTGACCATCAACTTGATAGCACCATCAATCTCTGCTTGGAAATGATTAGAAGCATTTGGGAATTTACCCATCTCAGCTACTCTGCGGGAAGATCGCCTGACCAAGGAAGGCAGGAGGGCTTCAGGACAAGCAGGTGATCGAGGCCTGGGGGGAAACCCGGGGTGAGTCACCTAGCCCCAGCCACACACCCACATGCAGGCCAAGTGGAAGCACCGTGGGTGCTTGGCATGGAACAGAGAGACTCACTATGAGCTGAGAGCCTCCATGACTGAATGAAAGACTGGGGAAGACATTCTCCTGGGAGGTCAACAGAGGAGAAATTTTAAATTGTGAAATTTGGCCCCTTGAAGGCTTGAATGCCAGCAGCAGAACTGGAGTAAAGCTTAGAGGCAACTTTTAATATAGCTGTCTCATCTTCCAGTTTCACCACAATTTCAGTCTTGCTCAAAATGTGCAATTCCCACTATTGTTTATATTGATTCACATTCAGCTCGCCATGGTACTCGGCTCTTGACCATCACTCTAGACTTCTTCTTTCTTTTGCTTATGGGCCTGGCGTGCTAAAATTGTACAACTGAAATGCTGTGTAATGACCACACTGTGAACACAATCTCCCACTTACATGTGAATAGACTCTGGTGCATGAAGAGTGGCTCTTTTGCATCAAAATCCCAGCGACAAGTCCTCTCATGCATGGCTCAGCCAGCTCCACCATCCAGGTGGAATTCGTATCCTCCAATTATACTGAATCACCTGGGGCTGTGGGAGGCTGCTTGTCCTATGGAGGAGAGTTGCCCTTGAGAGGGTGGTGAACTGGATTGCAGCCTTTCAGTACCCAAAAATTCATATCCAGAGAGTGGCTCTGGAAGACTCAAGAGGAGCCGTGGTGGTGCAGTGGTTAGAATGCAGCATTGCAGGCAAACTCTGCCCGCTGCTAGAAGTTCAACCCCAATGGGACTCAAGGTTGACTCAGCTTTCCATCCTTCTGAGGTCGCTAAAATGAAGACCCAGATTATTGTGGGCAGCATGCTGACATTGGTAATCTTCTCAGAGAGTGCTGTAGAGCGCTATGTGGCGATATATAAGTCTAAATGCTATTGATATATTCTGAACATCCAAACCCAGGCAGGCAATCCTGTATAAAAGGGTGCAATTGGGAATGGCGTAACCAGTGTTCATAATTTAGGTTTCAATATATTTGTTCTCCCACCATTTTAACAAATACCTTAAAAAGGGATGAGATGGGGAAAGAGAGCAAATTTGAACAGGTGAAAGAAATTAGAGCAGCTGATTGAAAACTACATATTAATTTCACTCAACAAAGTAACCTTTTAGTGAGGAGAAGATGATGATAAAATTCTCCACCTTTCAAGGTGCTATGGGGAGAAGTGACCAACACTGGAGTTACCAACTAACAGATTGGCTTTTTGGTCAGATTTTGTGGTCCAGAAGTCAGTCCCCCTTTTCTTTTTCATCTCCTTCTGCATTTCCTTAAACGGGGAAGAAGAATTATTTGCTTGGCTTGGCTGGCAGTCAAATGATCGTTGCATGGACAGGTAAATATTTACCTAAAAATTCAGGCAAACAGGGAATGCCTGGCTATTGGGACTTCTAAGGCGATGGGTGGGTGGGCCTCTTTGCCAAGAAAAGCAACACCCCTGTTAAAAGCTCTGGGTTATTTCAAGAATGGAGAAACTCTGGGAAGCTCCCTGCCACAGTAAAGAAATGGAGGAACCATTTCAAAGTGAAAGAAAGAAAATCCTAGCCAGGAAGATAGTTGGCTTCCTCTGAGAAAGGATCCCACCCAGGGATCCCCAGTTGATGACCATGGGTCTCGGCCCAGTCATTTGTCTCAATACGGCCAGTTCCGCAAAGCCTGGCCAGATAACTATTTCCCCCCATTGCCTTTACTACCTCCGGCCGAGCTATGATTTATTTGTGTTCTTGAACTTCTGCTTTCGCCAGGAAATAAGCACGGCTGCCTAGTCAAATGAAGAACAGGAAAGTTGTCAAAAACTGCTTTCCTTTTCTTGCTTGGAAATGCAACCAGCTCAGGACAAAACTTGCACCGGTAGGTCCAAATTTGCCCTCCTTGGGGTCTTCAGAAATTGCTGTCTCTGTAATGCTTGTAGAGTTGCTTCCAAATTAAACATTTGGTGTTGCTGTGTAAAAAAGAGGTGGTTTTGAGCTGTCATCTGGGAGGAGTTGAACTTGCTAGTTCTGTGGAATTGGAGAGGTCACTGGTGCTGTTGGCCCAACCACCTGTGTTTAAGTCTATGCCCCTCCTGCCTGGTTAAAGCCTCTGGGGGAGGGAAGTGTGTGGTTGTGCTGTGGTTAACATTTCTGTGAGGTAGGGGCATTAGTGAGAAAGTGTGTGGGGGAGATGCAACTCTGAAGACCCCTAGCTCTAGATCCAGCCCCACAGCTCTCTCCTGCATCCATACTGCATCCGGGGCTGTGTCCAGTCTTGGTCACCAGAATACAAAAAAGATGCTCTGGAAAGAGTGTGGAGAAGAGCAACAAAGACGGCCTCCAGGAGTCTGGAGGCTAAACTGTACGATAAATGGTTGTGGGAACTAGGTGTGTCTAACCTAATGAAAAGAAGGACTAGGAGTGACATGATAGCAGCGTCCCAGTGCATGAGGGGCTGCCCCAAAGAAGGGGAAGGGGTCCACCTATTTTCCAAAGCACCTGAAGGCAGGAGAAGAAGCAACGGATGGAAGCTCATCAAGGAGAGAACCAACCTACAACTACGGAGGAATTTCCTGACCATGAGAACAATGAACCAAGGGAATGACTTGCCTCCAGCAGTTGTGGGTGTAGATATTTAAATGTTTAGTTTATCTTGGAATTCTTTGGTTTGAGAAGGGAACTTGGCCAAATTACACTGTCTCCTTTCAAGCCTTGTTTGCTCTCCACTAAAATAGAAATATTAGAGGTTCTAAGTGGCTCTTCATTTGGGAATTCTAACATCCTCCTCAGACATGCTTTTAAATATTGCGGTGATTCAGTGTTACTTGCAGAAGATGATAACAAAAGGCAAACATTCAAATTACAAAGACAAATAATTTGCCAGGGCAAATCAGGATGCTCAAGTTTTAAGCCATAGGAACTTGTGTGCAGGGCAGAAAGTCTTGCACAGAGCGCAGAGCCTGTCCTTAGAGTGGGGTTCTATTTCTTGGTTCCTGAGGTTTCCTTTCCCTGTACAGTGACGTCTATGGGGTGTTGTTGTTATTGTTTTTGCTGTTTTGTAGCTATCTTCTTGTTTTCATCTTAGTTAATGTTAATCTGATTTTGCACAGAGTCACTTGAGCAATTGCTGACATGTCTGTAGTTCACTTTTTTTTTGCCCAAGTTACAAACGTAAATCAGAAACCATGTTTAGCCATTTACACTGACCATCTTTTCTTGGTGAAGCCACAGGGGGGCTGGTGATAATACAAAATGCAAGTGAGCGATGTGGCAAATGGTACCTTGCAGGCAGCAGGAGGTCAGTTTGCAAGATCTTTAGAATGTGCCTGGGATAAAATTAGCTGTGCTGATATGCTATTCTGCTTCTTCTCATTTGTACTAAAATGTGTTAGGTGGAAACCATGATTTATCAAGCCATAGTGGTATTCATGGCCTATCTGGTGATGAGTCTGGCATATGAAAGACCAAGTCTTGACTTGGAAAAAGAATATAAAAAGAAGAAGACATCTTGTGTGTTTATGAAACTCAGAGAAAGGGGAAGGCCATACAGGACTAGCTCAGAATGAAACGAGTCTTATCAAATGGTGGGTGCAAACACTCATGGAAACAGCTATTTGCTAGACATTAAGTTTCATACACACACATACACACACACACACACACACAC